AGGACAGGGACAGGGGGACACGGGGGGGGACAGGGGACATGGAAACACGGGACAGGGGATGGGGGGGGCCATGGGGACGGGGGGCACAGAGGGACACAGGGACGGGGGACATGGGACAGGGGGACATCGTGGCCTGGGCATGGCACGGTGTCCCCAGGGTGTCCCCAGGATGTCCCCAGGGTGTGACAGTGTCCCCAGGATGTCCCCAGGATGTCCCCAGTGTGTCCCCAGGATGTCCCCGGGGTGTGACAGTGTCCCCAGGATGTCCCCAGGATGTCCCCAGGGTGTCCCCGGCGTGTGACAGTGTCCCCAGGATGTCCCCAGGGTGTCCCCAGGATGTCCCCAGGGTGTCCCCAGGATGTCCCCAGTGTGTCCCCGGCGTGTGACAGTGTCCCCAGGATGTCCCCAGGATGTCCCCAGGGTGTCCCCAGGATGTCCCCAGGGTGTCCCCAGGGTGTCCCCGGCGTGTGACAGTGTCCCCACCCCGCAGGCGGTTCCAGCTGCCCCGGGAGCCGCGCTGTGCCCGGCGCTGTGCCGCGTGCGGGGGGTGGCACCCGGCCGAGGACGGGGACCTGTGGGCAGAGTCCAGCCTGCTCGGCCTCAAGGTCACCTACCTGGCCTGCATGGACGGCCACGTCTACGATGTCACCGGTGAGGGACACCGGGGGGGACAGCGGGGATGGACAGGGAGGGACACCAGGGGGGGATACGGGGGGGACACTGGGGACAGCCTGGGGGGCTCTGGGGATGCCATGGCCAGGGGGGTCACTCTGGGGTCACCATGACCACCCCAGGTCACTCTGGGTGTCACTGTGTCCATCCCTGGGTCACTCTGGGGTCACCGTGTCCATCCCTGGGTCACTCTGGGGTCACCGTGCCCAGGTCACTCTGGGTGTCACCATGCCCAGGTCACTCTGGGTGTCACCGTGTCCCTCCCTGGGTCACTCTGGGTGTCACTGTGTCCATCCCTGGGTCACTCTGGGGTCACCATACCCAGGTCACTCTGGGTGTCACCGTGCCCAGGTCACTCAGGGGTCACCATGCCCAGGTCACTCTGGGGTCGCTGTGACCGAGTGTCCCCGAGTGTCCCCATGACCGAGTGTCCCATGACCGGGTGTCCCTGTGACCGAGTGTCCCTGTGACCAACTGTCCCCATGACCGAGTGTCCCTGTGACCGACTGTCCCCATGACCAAGTGTCCCCGTGACTGACTGTCCCCGTGACTGGGTGTCCCTGTGACCGGGTGTCCCCGTGACCGGGTGTCCCCATGACCAAGTGTCCCCGTGACCGACTGTCCCCGTGACCGACTGTCCCCGTGACCGACTGTCCCCGTGACCGACTGTCCCTGTGACCGACTGTCCCTGTGACCGGGTGTCCCCGCTGTGTCCCCGCTGTGTCCCCAGAGTGGGCCGGCTGCCAGCGCGTGCCCATCTCCCCGGACAGTCACCGTGTCCCCTATCACCTGTCCTTCGGCACCAGGACAGCCGCGCCCGCCGGGCGCCAGCGGTCAGTGCCGGGGGTCCGGGGGGTCCTGGGGGGTCCTGGGGTCAGTGCCGGGGGTCCTGGGGGTCCTGGGGGG